CAAAAGTCAACTAGCAGTTACAGAGAACACTTCTCGGATTTCTATCATACAACGTGATACAGGCCGTATCCCGCGCTCTCACGTGTGCCGGATACTTGAGATGAAAGGGTCACGGTGGACTTGGATCCATCGGGACATTTCCTTTCCAATCCTTCGGATCTCACCATATTTTGACACCCCGATCCTCCGACCCTCCATGTCCGATGACAGCTCTGTCCAGAATCAAACAAGAGGAAAAGAACTGAGCAGCCTTGTGCTTACATACAGTGAACGGATTATGGGTACATGAAGTAACCCACCTGATTGTTTATCATAGCTGCCCGCGCTTGGCTCTGCGAGCTTTCTTCCCTTAACACCGTTAGCTGTGATGTCCGTTTTGCCGCCATCCGTACAGACGATACTCACCGTGTTGGTAGTTGGGACGCCACTGATGACTTTTGCCCTTTACCTTTCCTATTCGAGCTCTTAGGCATAGTCTGGCTTCGTGACATCGACACCGTTCCCCCAGCAAACGAGGGCGACCGGCTGTGACGGCCAAAGTAAGCGAATGTCAAGATGGGTACTTCTATATAGACAACATACTCTTCTCCATACATGTGCGAATCTCTTGGCCATATAGTGACACTAGACGGCCTAGATGACAACTCAGTCCCAACCCCGGGATCTGATTGTACCTGTGAAGCCGGTGGTCTGTAAAGTCTTAACTCAACTCGCCATCTCAAGAAATTAGACTCACGTATTGGATACTGCGATTTGCGAAATTGACTGTGGATGTGGTGGGTCTGCTGGTAAACTTGTGTCCAGATGGTTCCATCCAAGGTGTGACATGCCTTGGCTAACTTGCGAGTATGATCTACGACACCGTTAATCTCACGACACGGTTCCTGAGCTGTAGATCTTCTGGGGCTTACTCTTTTCCATAAGCAACTGATTGTATCGGTAACGGAGTAACTGCAGTACCTGTTCGAATTGCGTCTGATGGCAATTGATGGATGAGATTGGCTCGTACTGAATTACCGCGAGCTGATTCTGTGCGCCCTGGCGGTGCAGGTTGTCGAGTAACATCGGGCTTGGTAGTCGGGAAGAACACTGGCCGAGTACCAACTGCCTCCTGCTCCATCATATATGTCGACTTCATCTTCAGATCCGTTGGAATCGCCAGCGCAATTTTGAGCATCTTCCAGGCTGCGGACACAGCCCGTTTGCTGCCTGATCGCGGTTTTGGTGGGAGCTGAAACTGATATTGGGACGGGATCGGCACCGCCGTGGCACTCGCATTTTCAATAACCATCCGCTCGTTTCCTTGTGAATATTTGAGTCGAATAGCAGCCTCCGCTTCTCTGATCGCATCGGCGTCGTCGACGAACTGGTACACAATCAATAAAATCCCGTTTCATCCATCAATCAATCAACTCAGCAAGAAAAAAAACTTACATCATACCCAGTAACCTCCACCAACTTCCCCACCCTAGCCTGCAGCAAAATCTCCTGATGCAGCATCCGCTCCCTCTTCTGCTCTCCACTCAACGCTCCATCCCTCGAAATGTGTTCAATCTCTCCCTGAATTTCCTCATACATCCTCACACTCTTCTTCCTGAAATCCCTCCTTATCTCATCCCTCCTCGCCTCGACCTGCGCCTCCTCGTCCCCCTCCGCTAACAAATCCATACGTGCGAGCGACATGTCCTGACGTCGGGGGGGAACACGGAGACCCTGGCCCACGACGCTAACGGACATGTCTTCTGTGGCGATGGAGCGCGTGGAGAAGTGCGAGTATGGTCTTTCGGCCGCTGAGGGACCGGTGTGTGGGTCGTCGTAGGCGGAGGGGAGGGCCGAGATGTAGGCTTCTGCGTGTTGTTTTGCTTTCTGCTGCGCTTCGATGTGTTCTGGGTGGCCAGCCTGGGCATTGAAGGGGCGGTCGCGGATTTGTTTGTTTGGCCCGATTAGATTGGGGGGGTATTGGTTTGGAGGAAAAAGGGTGTAGTTGCGGTTTGACTTTGGGTTGGGGTTCGGATGGATGGGGAGGTTTGGGGGTGAGTCGGGGCGAGGGGGACGGGGAGGAGGGAAGCGTTTTCGAGGGGAGGGGAGGTTTTTGGAGTAGAGAGATAGGGGTGGAGGTTCTCGGGGGGGATGCAAGTGGATGGGGTGGGTGGTTTTGGCATTTTTGTCAGTGTTTGGTCTGATGATGCTGCTGATGATAATGCTGCTGCTGCTGCTGCTGCTACTGCTTGTTTTGCCTGAAGAGCAATGACTTGGAGGAGTAGTGAGGGCATCGGTCCAGAGAGACGGGTCGTGGTTCTCGCTGGTGGCTTCAGATAAAAAAGTGTGGGAGCGAGGATGTTGGAGATGGAAGTTGTCTCCTAGACTAGAACCGGAACCGTGGCGGGCGTGGTGGTGGTGAGGAAGGAGGTGGGGATCACGGGTTTTTGAGTTGGTGTTGAGGGGGGATTGGCGGTGGAGGAAATGAGTATCTGGTTGCGGATTGGTAGGTCCTGTTGGTCTCCATAGTTCATGGATATTACCGGATGGACTGGACAGTGTTTCTGGTTCTGGGCCCTGTCTCGCCGTGCGTTGAGAAGACGAAGTCCTCGGTCTGACCATTCCTTCGCCATCATCGTCATCGTCGGTGTCACTAAGATCCCCATAATAAGAAGCGAAATCCGAATAATACGAATTTGCCATGCTTATTCTCTTATCCCATTCTTCTTGCGTTCCATTTTCGGTCCTGGATAAGGGCCCCTGCTGATGCGATAGCTTTTGATCGCCGAAATTGCCCATGGGAGTATTCGTGCTAATCACGTCTTTCCATGTTCTCGGGATCTCGCGGTTTTGGTTTGTGATGGAGGCTAAACTTGCTGCTGCGCCTAATGTGGAAAGTGGAGCAGGGACTTGAGATTGGCACCAGTATTCGGAGGAGGTGGAAGGTGACATGGAGAGGTGGTTTGAGTAATCGTTAGCTTTGCCGCTCTCGTTTTCATTGTCCTTGGAGGAAGATTGGTGGGCGGAGAGGTTGTCTTGAGTGTCTTGAATAGTTTGGTTAATTTCGGCGAGGATTGAGGAGATGACAGGAGATCTAGAATGTAGAGGTGGGGTGGGAGGGGGAGGGGGAGGGTTGGTCGGAGCTGGGGAAATAGGACTCGAGATCGAGAATTTAATGTCAGTGTTGGTATCGGTACTGGGTGCGCGAGGGCGATGGCGCGATTTGAAGCGGGGGATGGGTGGGTTGGCGGGCATTGTGAGAGGGAATAAGTATGGATAGGAAATGAACAAGTAGGAATAGGGGATAATATGGGTTGATATAGATTGGGGATGAAGATGAAGTAGGAGAGAGCAGTGGAAAAATGGAGTTGAGGGCGTAAGGCCTTGTAGGAGCATTGATTTGCGGAGCCAGGAGCGGGGAGTGAGTGTTTGTTGGTGCGGGGATGTGAATGGTGGGAATTTGGACACGAGGAATACATCGGCTTATATGAGGCCAAATCGGTCTGACGAACGGTGTGTGTTTGTGAAATGATTGGAAGCAACGTGAGCAGGTTTTATGAGTGGATGTATGCAGACCAATTTCTTTACCGCTCTTGTGGGGTCTGGTGCGAGAGCAGTAGAGATCGATGAATGGTATAGCCAGGAAAGATCTGGAAGATATTGCTGCAGTAGATCTAGGATGCTGTAAGTACCAAAATCTGTCGTATGGGATATATCCTTCCCCTAAAAAATCGTGCATCGACTCATGGTGGTTCTCCAACGTCCACGAACATACCTACACTGCCGAGCAATGGATCGGAGTGCATACATGGAAACTGTGGCCCCAGTAGTCAGATAAGCCCATGGTGAGCTGATTCGAATAAGTGAGTATTCTGATGGAGTGTTCGATGAGATATGAATTGATTGGGAGGATAGATACATCCATCTACACATTCCCTCTCAAGTTAATGTGGTAGTTTCAGTACAGTCTATCATGAAAGCTAGACAAAAGGCTTACTGTATGCTTGTCACTGTTGAAATTGATCTAGCATGGGCGGACATATCTTTTGTGGGTACTTGCTTTAAGTAATAAAATTCTTGAAGGTTAATCTTACACCTCTTAACACAACCTCCAGCTTTTAAGCAAATTGTGAAGAAGATACTTGATGCCAGTAGCCTTTCGCAATTGCTATTGTATATTGTGAACCAAACATTGTGGTGATTCTAGTTTAGTCGCGTTTTGTTGAGGGATAATACCCTGAGTATCTATGCTCTGATTGTCGTAGGGAATTGCAGTGTAAGACGATCTATTAAGTCAATTCCTGCTGGCTGGATTGTCTTAAATTAAATTCTGAATATCCTGATAATGTTTCCGAATGCAATATCAACCCAAAGACTCTTTCTTTGTATGCCTTTCTCCATTGTGGTTTTTATTACGGATTAAATAGTGGGTTGACGGCCTCCTGTTTGGGCGCCATGTAGATTATGAACATCACACTAAGTTGGTGGAAAAACATTTACTACTAAATGAGTACACCTAGTTACTATATGAATATTACGACATAACTGGACTTATGTTTCTAATGATGCAAGTACTCAGACATTTGCACTACTAACACTGGAGAAAGTGGAGAGGTTGCAGTCAAATCGGCCGGGACATTAAAGGATCTCCGAATGCAACAAGAGTAGGAGGTACTAGACACACGATCCAGGAGACGCAATAGCTACATGTAATCCAATCAACGAGATCCTCTTGCGATGTCAAATCTACTCATCGGTGGTCTCGTTCAATCGAAGAACTCCTGACCCAACCCCGTACCTCCCCCAACTAACCAACCACACTCCAACAATACAAAAGCTTCTTTTACAACAAGTCCATAGAACTGATCTAGAACAACAGACCCCACCATTATAAAAAAAAGATCGCTAATCCGCCGTCGCTTGTGGTTCCAACCCGAACCACGCTATCTCCTGCTCCCTTCACCGTCACCTTCGTAACCATCCACCCCAGCAAAAAAAAAGAAGCTGCGCTCCTATCGAATCTCCCCCACGTGGGCTCGAACCACGAACCTCCTGATTGCCGCTCCTGAGAAAGGATAACAGTCAGACGCGCTAGCCAATTGCGCCATGGAGGATTGATTTGATTTGTTTGATGGAAGAATGGAAACTAATAATATCTATATACTAAGTTAAATATGCGGCTTCGCAACGATAGGAGAGCCAGAAGGAGCAGTCGATTTTGCGTGTGAGAGGATGAGTTGTGTGGCATTGTGGGTGGGGCGGAGGGAGGGGCCAGTGTTGGTTCGGGCTAGCTCTGACGGCAGGGGGTGAGACTGGAGCCGAGAATGGCGGATAGATTTTGGTGCTTCAGGCAGCCATCTAGACTGATGAGGTTCTTGATGTGAGAAGGAATTGGGAGATATGCATTGGAATTCATTAGATTATTATTTCGGTATACATGACTCAGGGGCTATATTGGTCGGTACTTGGACATTGAAGTTGTACAATGATTGTGTTTCGACGGGTTGTGTCAGGGGCGGGAAGGTTGTCAGAGTCTTGTTGGCATTGGTGTCCATTGATTTGATTATGTGGAGGTAGAGTTGAGTTTCTAACTCGCTCATCCTGCTTCATTTTGTTTCCTTGCGACAGATTTTCAGCTGCGCGGATGATTGCGATTAAGCATGATTGCACGGGCGACACAACGACGTCTCTGGTATTTGCAGTCGTAGAAAGTTTAGTGGTAGCTTTGAAATGATTTGCCTGCGCGAATGATATTGTCTTCAGTGCGTGGCCTTAAATAACTACTCGAAAGTTAGTTGTTCTCCCACTCAAGATTTATGCTGTTGGAACTTGGGATACAACATCATTGCGTGTTTATACGAAAAGCATTGCTAAGTGTAAGATCAAGATATGCACCCAATAGTCGCTAGAGGATTCCGAATTCTAATCGAATCTCACGGAGCCAAGCCGCAACCGTACTCAAACCCCTTCTGGAGCGAACAGGTCGGGCCCCGAGCATCAAAACTCGCAATTTTTTCTATTCTTGCAATGATTCTAGCCTATAATGGCCTGCACCAAATGTTCCATCCAATTGTAAAATGTTTTTGGAGAACATCATCTTCAATGTGCGCGATCCTCTAGGAGCCGACCGACGGGAAGGGCCGGGATAGACATTTCACCATCACCCTAGCCATCAAATGTGCTGATTTCTCCAATTGGAAAACTATGGTACTGGATTGGACCATGGGGGAATGTTTATCTTTAAGAATCATTTATCACATTGGGTTACATCTATGATGTATTGATATTTTACCACGGTCGAGTCAATAGCCAATGAGAATGCGGGCATTATAAGCCCTTTTTGGAAAAGTTGGCATTACACCGGGGACAGCCGAGGACATATTGGAAACAACTGCGATACAAGTACATCAGAACGGGTTGGAATACAGGGAGATGTATCAATATCTGTATGAGGACTCAATTGAGTCATATGGTGCGATGTCACTCAAAAGATTCCAAAATTGGTGCCAAGGAAAATGTGTTTGTTGATACACTCTAAATGCACAGCTTGATCCGTCCCGTCCTGTCCTGTCGCACCACATAGTTCACGTCTGGGGAGATTTCCTTCAAAATGTTTACATGACTTCGTCTACTGTCCGGCCTTTGCGTACTTCTCCCTCTTGCTGACAATGATGGACTCCAAGTCCTCGCGCTCCTTCAGCTCGGACTCGATGGTGGTTATGATCTCGGACAGATAAGGTGTATCCTGCAAGACAGTCAGTCGATTGAAAAGGCCTGGAATGCTCCGTGTTGTAGCTCACCTCTTCCGCCTTTGTCCACTCCGCCTTGGGCAGCAATTGATGGGATACGGAGAGCTGGAGTTATGTCAGTTGGCCAGCCGCGCATTTCCCTCAGTGGGTTTGAGGTACCTGGAAAGCCCTTCGCAGGCGCCAGACACGGTCGTAGGCCTCCTTGGGCGGTAGGCGCTTGAGGGCGAGCTGGACGGTGTCGTTCTCTTCGGGGATCAGGTCATCGGCCCTGCGGAGCAATTGGGGTCAGTCCATCCATCTACGACTAGCCGTGGCCATTGCAGGATACGCATAGCTTGCGGAAGCCGGCGTGCATGCAATTGACCAAGAATGAGGGGGTTCCGTACCTCAATCCGAGTTGCCTGTAGCCCGCGGCATTGGTATACCAGTTGGCGAGCGGCATCAAGGCCTTGTGGAGCCATGGGCGCTTGGAGATGAAACCGGCGAGCGACGGCGCAGACATATTGTCGAGGGAATATGAAGGCGGAGACAAGAGGTCGTGGAGGGTGGCGGTGGACGAGGAGGCGGGGGGGTTTGGGATGGGAGTGTCGTCGTCGATGAGGCAAGTGGTGAGGTTCGCCAGCAAAAGGCTCACTGACAAGCGAAAGAAGGATTGGCTCTTGCACACTCGTTGCCAAGGCCGAACGCACATGGACTGCTGCTTCCGCTTTGAAAGCTGCGAGGAGCTGTTTCCCCACCCGCCACCGCCGATTGCCCGACCGCACTTTCCTGCTGTTGCTGCTGCACCGACGTGACCCTCTTGCTTTCTCGTCTCTCCCTCTCTCGTGTGCCCACCACCTTTACCATTCACCATCCCGCCCTCTCTCTCCTCTCTCTCTCTCCACTACCACAACCTCTGCACCACCCCGCAATCTGCCCATTGCATCCCCCTCCGCCAGCGCCGCCCTTGTTGCTTTTAGAAAAGCTCCCCCGCTCTGTCATCATCACGGCTTTTTACTGCGTCCCCCCGTCAATGGAGCCGCTCAATCGCTAGTTATTGTGTCACTCAAGTGCTGCGGGGCTTCCGCACACTGAGGCACCGTGAGGGGGACGACGGCCTGTATGCATCCCATCCCACATCCTCAACTGCCTGAATTGCTCGTGTCTGATTGAACTACCATGCATAGCTTCCCACAATGTCCACCGAAGCTTCCGAGCCGCCGCCGTCCCCAAGTTCCACCAGACAACGGTATGCGCCGCCGCCTGCGATTCCCTCTCGCGACTCGTCCCCTCAACAGTCCCAGAACACGGGCTCACCCTTCTCTAGCCTCGCTCTCCAGTTTGCTCGCCTCCCCAACTCGACTGTCAATGCCTTCTGCGGTGCTTCCGCCGGCATCGCTTCTGGCATCGTGACATGCCCGCTCGACGTCATCAAGACTCGCCTCCAGGCGCAGGGGTCTTTCCGACCACGAAACCTCAAGAGACCCACGCGCCTCGTGTACAATGGACTTGTGGGCACTGCGCGCGTGATTTGGAAGGACGATGGATTTCGTGGCATGTACAGAGGTCTTGGTCCCATGCTGCTTGGGTACATACCAACTTGGGCCGTCTACATGAGCGTATACGACAACTCAAAGGAGTTCTTCTATGAACATCTCGGTTCGTGCTATGCGACCACCTTGTTCTTCATATACTGATGGTGATTATCAGAGAACAAATGGTTGTCACGAATATCTGCTTCTATTACCGCCGGCGCCTGCTCAACACTAGCTACAAACCCTATATGGGTAATTAAAACAAGACTCATGTCCCAAGTGAGCTCACGAGCGATGGATGAACATCGACCACCGTGGCAGTACAAAGGTACTTTTGATGCCTTTGCCAAGATGTACAGGAACGAAGGCCTTGCTGCATTTTACTCCGGTCTTGCTCCGGCCCTGCTGGGACTGACGCATGTCGCCATCCAGTTTCCGTTATACGAGTTCTTCAAGATGAAGTTTACTGGGGTAGAAATGGGACAGGCGACTGGCCGAGCTGAAGACGTCCATTGGGTCGGAATCTTGGGGGCTACCATTCTAAGCAAAATTTGCGCCACATCTGCCACATACCCCCACGAAGTCTTGCGTACAAGACTGCAGACACAACAGCGATCCTTGCCATCAAGTTCTCACGAAGAAATATCTTTTAGGGGAGGATTGCATGGAGTTGGGCATCACACTCGACCACCAGGGACTGCATCGTCCGATGGTATGGTCAATATACCCCGATATCGTGGGGTTATCAAGACTTGCACTACGATTTTACATGAAGAGGGCTGGAGGGCATTTTACAATGGTATGGGTACAAACATGGTGCGAGCAGTACCCGCTGCCGTCACAACCATGCTCACATATGAATCATTACGATCGTGGCAGCAACGAATAAAGCATGAAGTAGAGGAAATGGAGCGATAACGGAACCGACTTTGATTATTGGACCTCCAGAAACACTTTTTCCGTTGAAGCCCACCCAAGAGCTTCGTTAACAAGATAAGGCGTTGTGATGATTTTGGGAGCACGATATCCCTGGAAGAGAGCATTTTCCTTCTTTCCCATCTCCTTCTGTACATAATCTCAGCATGTCTGGCAAGGGCGGGAGATCTCTACTGGTGTAGGGGTTGAGTACTGGTGTTCTATGGGCGCATGGCGAGAGAAGGTCATGGGAAGAGAATTCTTTTTTTCTTATAGCAATTGAAAGCTTTTTGTTCTGCATGTTTGGTCATTTCTACCTTTATGCGCATTACGGTGATACGATGTCATTCTGTGTTTGGTGAATCAAATTTGGGCACATGAAACCGCAATACTTTAATCCAGATCTTTCAAGTCTGCCTTTCCATGTTCGATTTGCGTTTGGTAGGCTAGCCATGTCTTCTTCGTCACAATGCCGAAGTAGCTCTACAAGTATATGTACTTACACTCTACATATTGTCTACGGAAGATGCTGTTGACAACTTATTGAAGAAGATGGAAAATACCACTACTTGCTTGAACGTTCATATATGAATCTTGGGAACGGAAGAGGGCGCTATCTTTGCTGAGAAAAAAAAAACATTGATTTATCGATCGTCTTGTATCTTTCTGCAGTAGCGATGCCCTTTGATAACTCTCCCTAGAATGAATCGTCCCGTCACGATCATCCAGTGGGACATCATATCGCCACCCACGAGTTAGATCATGTCGTCTGGAAACCTATGCTCTTCCGGTCCTTCCCATCTCCTGCGTTCATCCGTGAGGGTTTCTGCCACAACAGAATACCTTGTGGGATATTAAGGGAATCCATGGCCTTTTCGCATCAGTGTATTATTTCCTAAAGCCTTGAAATGGCGGGATTGGGAGGAGTTGGTGGTC